CGAATTTTCCGATTTTCCTTATGTACTCCTGAGCACCGGGAACGAGAGGAATGCCGGCCTTGAACTCAGGAGACTCGTGAAAGACGTAGCACTTCTCCATAGCCTCCTTCGCTGTACCTGACAGCCACGGCAGACCTTCACTCGACCGAGTCACCAACTGGTCGTTCGAGCGCACGTCTTTCCACGGAGAAATCACTATTGCGGACCCAGAACTAACGATAGTCGAATAAGCCATCTTTAATGGTACGTATAATACGAGTAGTAGTACCTCCCTGAACTTCCCAGAAACGATACGTGAAGAAGTCGGAGACCTTCAAGTGTGTGCCGTAAACTCTATTGTGCCACTTTGAGTAAGTGGCCAGGTATTGGCCAAGGACCTCATCAAGGTCGCAGGCTACTACAGGCCGCTGACTAGCAGTAACAGCAGAGTTGGAGTTACGTAAAGTACTACCTCCTGCCATAGGTGAAATAGGAGTGAAATGAAATATCTTTCTAGAGATATGATGTTTGATGGTGTTACGTGCTCTAACGATTGTAAATCTGTGTGAAAAATTCCGCTTTCTCCGTATAATCGTTCGTGCTAAGATTTACACACACAATCGTCGCAATATTTGTAACTGCTACGGGCTCCGTGGTATTAACGTCGATATTATGAGTCCCCTTTCCCCCCACTGGTCCCAGTGCCTTATCGTGGCGTGGGGGTTACTGGATGGTAAATTCCAACCAGATCGAAACTGGGATCGAGCTGCCACCGCTCTTTGAGCGAAACTCTTACATCCACTCAACGAGTGCGATAGAGAGTGGCCCATAGCTCATGTGCTTCCCCACCGAGGGAGAGGTTCTTACCTCGGGTTCATCGCTGTTGTAATGTGCATTCTAACTCCCTCTGAGAGGGCTGTCATGCCGGGTGACTTCGTCCGCATTGAGAGAAGCTTTGGTATTGCATCAACACCCTGGGACCCAAGACTGCTGATACTATACAAGTAAGACCTACTACTAAGCTAATACCTTCAGGTACCCCGTAGTGAAGTAGTTCCCCTGCATGTCTCTGCATGACCACATAGTACATGAAGTCCATGCCTCAAGTGTCGAGCACAAGCTGGTTGCTTACTGGTGAAGTGGCGGTGTGTGTGATGACTCATCGTTGTCGATTGTTTTTTACTCTGTTATTCTCAACTGTACCATTTAGCCGTAGTCGGGGAAGCCGTGGCCAGGGTCACCTTTTGTCGTATCTGCTAGTGGCATTAGTATGAGTATGGGCGATTGGCCTCTGGCCCGTAATGCCCGGCATAAGCCTTGAATTGAATTGAATTGAATTGAATTGAATTGAATTGAATTGAATTGA